GTTTCGTTCTCTTAACGCTTTTGCGTTTGTAACGTAGATACATTTCTCCATTTCATTTTTTGTTTTAATGTGCCGTGGTCGCAGCATGGTCCGGTTAAAAAAAAAATTTATTAACACTTGCACGTATGGCAGGCTGTTTCACTTTTTAATAGTTTAATACTATTTAGCCGAATAGAAAAGCAGTAAAAAATGAGATGAGACAAATAGTATATCTGCTTAGAAATTTTGAGTTTCATACATTTTTGAGTAGCCTGATTCAATTTAGCCAATTTTTTTTATTCATGCCTACGGAAGGATAATTTTATTTTTAATATTTCAAACTATCAGTATGTTCTACCTTGACAAAATTTTCTAAAAATTCGATGTATTACAAATGTTGTCTTTACATAGCCTTGAATGATAAAAATTAAATGAAAAAAAAATCCCTCACCAGATACATTATTTGTTTCATCTCACTATAGAAAATAATTGGTTCATTTTTATATGCTCATCATTTTATGTTCGAGATTTATAAGTGCATTTTTGTTTTTGGTAATTTTCCATAATGCCTTCTTTATCCGTCTGAATATTATTTATACTTTAAAACATGAAACAGCGTAATATAGGTGTTTGTGACAGGTAGGCTCTCGGGAAGAAGAAACGTTCGCTGATTCATGTACCAATTTATTGCATGTATACGATGTAATATAATACAATATTTGTAGACTAATATAATCATATATTTAATGAATCTTAAGTTAACTAGGTTAACCAATAAGCAAAGTTAATCATTAAGAAAAAAAGAAAAGGGATGAGAAGTGAGTTCCGAACTCGAGACTCTTGGACGTTAATCCAACACCAAGCACGTGTGCTACCGAGCTATTGTGATATATAAATTGGAAACTTTATATTTCTGTAGTTACTCACGTTCGAGGGTTTGTTTAAAGTTTTATTTGCTCACTCTATTATTTACAAAGCTTCATATGGATATTAAGGGAATTAACATCAGCAGAATTTACTACCTCATTACTACGGTTTATGCGATATGCAGTAAGAATGGGTGGATAGTTAAGGGAATTAATATCGGCAGAATTTACTACCTCGTTAATACGGTTATGCAATATGCAGTAAGAAAGGATGGATACAAGTCTCCCTATTTGAGTGTTCACCCGATTTGATATTGTGGATCTCGAGGAACACACGAATTCATTCGACCAATCAAAAACGTGGAACTCCTTCGAGGGCCCTCCGCTAAGGTGGCGCGCTGAAACCAGAGTAAAATTGAGACCACCAAAAACAGGCTCATTGGCAATCTCCCTACTCATATCTGCCCTAGCCAACGCTACACTTCTTACCACCATGGAACATTGACACACACACACCTGATACAGCAACCATACAATTGTATTTGAACGACGTTCACGTCTCTGGGGATCGATTGTATAACTCGAATGTAGTGAAAATACGAAGAGTGAATAGCTGTTAGCCAATCGCGTACTAGGTTCAAAAGAAATCAGGCACAGTGATTGGTTAATAGCTGTTCACTCTTCGTATTTTCACTACATTTGAGTTACACAATCGACCTCCTGAACATTCGACATCGGTAGGTCGATTGTGTAACTCAAATGTAGTGAAAATATGAAAAGTGAATAGCTGTTAACCAATCGTTGTACTTAATTGTATTTGAACGACGTTCACGTCTCTGGGGATCGATTGTATAACTCGAATGTAGTGAAAATACGAAGAGTGAATAGCTGTTAGCCAATCGCGTACTAGGTTCAAAAGAAATCAGGCACAGTGATTGGTTAATAGCTATTCACTTTTCGTATTTTCACTACATTTGAGTTACACAATCGATCCCCGGGCGTTTAAATTAAACGCCGGTTATCTTCCGTTCAATAGTGGGTGCTTTCCATTTACTGGCACAAGTTGACACAAGTCGACTTGTGTCGTCAAAAGTGCTTTCCATTTGATTTGTGTCGGCATGTGTCAGCAACACAAGTCGACTCGAGAAGACTCTGTTAGAGTGGTGAGTTGACGAGAGTATCTGTGTTCCATTTATTCGTTTTCGAGAGTCGACATGAGTCGACACGAGTTGACACAAGTCGACTTGTGTCGTCAAAAGTGCTTTCCATTTGATTTGTGTCGGCATGTGTCAGCAACACAAGTCGACTCGAGAAGACTCTGTTAGAGTGGTGAGTTGACGAGAGTATCTGTGTTCCATTTATTCGTTTTCGAGAGTCGACATGAGTCGACACGAGTTGACACAAGTCGACTTGTGTCGTCAAAAGTGCTTTCCATTTGATTTGTGTCGGCATGTGTCAGCAACACAAGTCGACTCGAGAAGACTCTGTTAGAGTGGTGAGTTGACGAGAGTATCTGTGTTCCATTTATTCGTTTTCGAGAGTCGACATGAGTCGACACGAGTTGACACAAGTCGACACAAAAGTCATGTAAATGGAACGCACCCCGTTGGAGGAATGTAAAAATTCAGTAACCTGAGTTAAAATTAAGTTTAACACTGAACTGCGTCGGAGGAAACGGGCGTAAGACCGTCGCGTGAACGTAGTCAGTCAATTTTAGAACACATGTTAGTTCGACAGATTTGACAGAGCTGAGAGGGTACCTCTAAAATAAAGAAAAAAAGAATAAGTTTAAAAATGTCAGACAATCCGAAACGTGTTCTATTGTTCAGTGGAAAAAGGAAATCAGGGAAGGATTATATTACGGATTTACTTAGTTTGAGGTAAGTGATGTCAGAGCATTTTTTTTTGACAAGCTTTACATAATGTGTCATGGTGTCTGTTATTGCATTCTAGTTATATTTTATATTAATCAGAAAATATGAAATACAATCATTTTAGGTAAAACGTTTTGGTTTTAAGCCATGATTTATTCTGATGAATTGCCTGATAGTGATAATAACCATTCATCGCAGTTATAGTCATAGGACTTTAAGGTGGTTTGATCACTCGAACACTTCCAAGGTATAAATCTAAATTTTGTATATACTTGGCAGGTACTTAGCAGTTATGCATGCAAAATTAAAACATTATTTACCATGTAGTTCACGAAATATATGGAATGAAAGTAGTCAAAAATGCACCATATATATACTTTGCTTGTCAAAATAACAATAATTTTTCTTTGAATTATCTTAGCTTCCAGGCAGTAAAGGCAGATGAAAATTCTAAATATCAAACATTACCACAACGATCATTGTATTGAACATCTTAGCATTGTATATCATTTTTTACTGCATTTTTTAAAAATAATATGTGATATGCAAAGTTTTTAAATGATGGATCTCTGTCTATCTGCACATCTCTCAAAGATAATACTTTACGTAAGAAATATTTTTGTAATGAATGATATAAATAGAATTCCCAGAAATTGGGATACTATTATTATGATGTTAGGCAAACACCTTAGGGTTATTATGAGAATATGTTATAAAAGTGCACAAATACAGAAAGATATTGTCAGGTAAATTCTCTAAACATATTTCCTACTATTGGAACACTGCCAAATTTGAAGCTGAATGCCAAATCTGATTTTCCAAATAAATAAACACTGATCAAAATATCGACAAATATAACAGAATACTTGGCTCTTCTTTATATATGGTATATGCATAGCTGTGCATTAAGTGCATATACACATTTTTCCTACTTTTGTCTTTTATTTTGCTCAACTCCACATTTAAAATAATAGTAGCGTTTCAAATTTTATGGAAATTCTGCAAATAATTGTTAACAATAATAGTCATTCATTATATAAAGTAGGCAATAGTTGCATATGGAACCACAGAGTAATCATTATTGGACTAGTTTACACCAAGCAGTTGATAGGCTTAATAAAGTAGTATATTTTTATCAAATAGCTGTTTATACCATGTCTTACTACTATTTATTATAAATATAATGCGTTAATACAAGTGTAAGTGTGTAGTATAAACTAGGTTCCCGACATCTAGTGGACTATGTAAAATAAGGCTGCCTCATTTGTTCCAGCTCCAAAATCATACCATTGTGATATTGAAGTAACTACACAATTTTAACACAATTTGTAAAAAAACAAAATTTCCGGGGGACAATTGCTTGGCGCGCGTGGTAGGGTAGTAATCATCAGAGTACCTCGAGCGAAACTCGCAAAATTTAGGCGTTTTTTCAAATGAAAAATATAACCCCTTAGCAAACTCATTTTTGGATGTTTAAAAGCGCGTTTTAATCATTTAAATCTCAGCTACAACGTGAAATAAATATAAAACTTCTATTTCATCGCATTCCTAATGAAAAATGGCGGGGAAGCTTCGGGTGCGCTTGCGATATCTCGAGATCATCGGCACGGGATCATCTCTGAGAACAATAATTTTGTGAGAATCTGCAGTAGCATTAAAAATGATATAACGCAGAAACTGGACCAGATTGGCCGGCGCGTTTGGAAGTTATGGCCAATTAAGTGTTTTCACTTCAAGGGAGTGTAGCTCCCCCCAGAGTGATGTTACAGGGGTTCAATGGGGGTGTTTTTTAAATGCCGAAGGCTGCTCTCCTTCGTGCCATAATTAAAAATATGAATTTCCTTCTGGAACTACTAGTACTCGCACTTTTCAAAAACTTCCAAAATGTACTATTTCACTCTAACCCCTGCAGTTCAGCCATTTTGTATCTGATCGAGATAAAAAATTTACCATTCGAACGGAAAGGAAATTTCCTAAAAAATGTTTTTCGTTTTTTGAAATCGGTCACAGTTTCGCAGAAATACACAAAAATTCAAGTGTTCCACTTCAATTGCCCATTAGTGTATATCAAATTCTACTGATTTTACCACTACATAATTCAAATTTAATTTACAAGAATTTTAATATAATGAACATTCTTAAAATTCCCTTGGATGCCTCAATTCAAATTAATTTTATCTTTAATAAAGGTAGAGCTGAAATTGATATGTTCTACTATTTTATGATAAAATATTAACTATTGACTGATTCATAGTTATATTAAATAAAACATTAATTTTATTCTATTGTATGTTTATGTATTAGGATTGGGTCAGCTCAAAGTGTTATCATAAAAATATCTGGACCAATAAAGACACATTGGGCAAAAACTTTAAATCTTGATTACAATAAATTAATTGAAGATGGACCGTACAAGGAACAATATCGCGGTGAAATGAATAAATGGGCTGAAGAGATCAGAGACAGAGATTATGGTTATTTCTGTCGTGAAGCCATTGACATGTATAACGGTATAGTATTAGAAAATGTAACAGATCACATCTTCTACATTAGTGTTAAATGACACTGTTATGCTGGGAGTCTCCTGACCCCACTGAGAAACGCCAGGCCAAGTAATTCACGCGTGTAGCAATGCGCTAAGTCAGAACTAAAGGCGGCCTGGCAACCGAGATGTGGAAATCGAAAAATCGCACAATAATCACTTTTCGGAAGTCCAGCTTATGCCTGCACATCCGAAAATCGACAGTCTACAGTTAAAATCCGAACGGATAAGGTGGTTTCGTGGAGTAGACTCGGTACAGGAAATAGGAGTACTGAACGGTGCCTATATTTTCCAAGTCGACGTACGTCGACATACTATACAACACACGCTTGATTGTTTCAATAAAACTTCTCAGTTTTGTTGTATTCACGCGAGTTCCAACTCCTTAACCGGCAACGATCCCAAAAATACCTTGGCCCTAACCTCTCGAACGAACTCCTTCGTCACCGAGACGTTGCGGCACAACAACACAATTAAAATAGATTACTATGAATGTGTTCTGCAGACAATGTTTATATGTGAAAAAAAGTAAAATTGTATGATTTGGGCGTATTTCTTAATAAGATCTTATACATATATTTCATGGCAGAAAGTTATAGACATGATTAATGGATAACTTACTTGAAAATAGGGTTAATAATTTTTATATTCTGGTCAAATATAACAAATGAAGTTGACTCTACCTTAAAAATACAATGAACGGAATAACATAACAATCTATTCTAGTGACTAGTGAATTGCCCTCGCTTTGCGCTGGCAAAATTAACCCAATCAGGTTATCGCTTTTTTTGGCACCTTCTCTGGTTATCGTGGGTCGTTTCAGACCCAAGGCATGTTAAAACGCTTAATTATCAATAAAAAAGGATTGAAAAAAATTTTAACAAATATTTTATTTTTAGTGATAATCACACCCACCTCATGTAAAAAATGTATAATTTTTGAACAAATTGACATAGTTTAATTTTTCAAATAGCATTGTAAAGTTCAAGAAGCTTATTTTTACGAAAAAAATCACGAACTAGATGGGAACAAAAGAAATGCTGAAGTTTGAGGTGCCAATTGGCGCTTTTTTCGAAAGAGGAATTTTGAAGTTTCAAGAAATAACTCGATATATTTCGATGTATACAAGTTTTATTTTTGTAGAAAATTATACATATTCATGAAGAAAAAATAACAATATGTTCACGCTTTAAATTCTATCATCGTATAATTACAAATAGTCTCTGCAACATGTGTAATGATGTTTTTCACAAACGGCCAACCTACACTTGATACAATGTTGGTTCGTTTTCGCGAAATGTACATATAAAAAATCTTTCGAAAATACTCATAAACTTCATGAAAATTCAAAAACTTACCTTGACGCTCAAAACGAGTTTGCACCGAAGTTAAAGTTATCGTGGGTCGGTTCAGACCCAACGTGAACTTGACCTGCTCACTGCGAAGGTCAGGCTGTCACTGGGAAAACGCGATTCAGCACAGAGGGTCTTCTAGTCCTAAAGTTTTTTTAGGGTGAGGATAGATATTTCCAGGCTACACGGATTCTGAGTAATAAGACAAAAGAAAAATGCCTTGGGTCTGAAACGACCCACCCGAATCGGGTTAAACGGAACTCTTTAGAATTTTCTAGAACTTCCTAGAATGTTCTATGGATTTTTATTGAATTTTCCAGATCTTTGTAAAATTTTGTGGATCTTTCTAGAATTTTGTGGAACTTTTCCATCAAATGAGAAGCGAGAAGTATGTTTAACATCACAAGGGGAGAGACGCTGTATAAAAAAAAAAACAGAATTTTCTCAATATCCTGAAATATCCTGAAAAGATATCCGTTCCAAAACATAAACTTGTTCTATGGGGGATCGTGTGCTACCACACCATATAATGCTCGTGGGGCTTCATGAGTTGGTGTGGAGATGAAGCTACGGGCACAAATACACTATACATTCTTTTATTATATACAGGGTATTCCGAAATTACATGACCAACAGGATATGGCGGTGTTCGGGAGGACCATTTATCACGAAAATGACCTTTCTTTTGTCCGGAAGGTCATAGTTTTTAAATCGGAGCAGGTCAAAGTTGACTAATCTGAGCGAGGCGTCCAGAGAAACGTAGGCACCTACGAATCCTGAGTTTCCTTCCTTCGCTTTCGTTTCTTGGTGGTTTTGAGCAGGATGACGTCAGCCGAAGACATACCATTGGATGTCACTCGCTGAGAACAGAGATTCTCAGTTAAACAGTCAAGCACTAACTGAAAACTGTAACTGTCTCGGCAACCCGTCGTACAGGGCACGGCCCGCCGAGACTCTTTACTCGAAGCATCTCTTGTCCTGTTGTGAATCCAAAAGTTGGATTTACGAGTTTGACCACCGGAATGGATATTCGAGAATCGGGTACTTTGGGATTCGTTGCTCGAGTAAAAAGTTGGAACTTAACTTTCAAAAACAAGTAAAAGATTTATTGAACACAAAATGATTACGTTAGAATACACTATTAGATATGAAACCGTTAATGTGGTGAGTACGAAGGTCCCGAGACCGAGGTTAGTACTTTGACTAAGTTACCGTAGTAACACTTCACTCGTAGCTTTCCTACTTCGTCTGACGTACCGACAGGTCATGCGCTTTATATATCTTCATTATGGAATTTTTTAGAGACGCAATAACCAAAGGATTGTTTTCTATATTTCACCATGGTATTGGCGATGCGTCTCCTTTATTTCCATAATATTTAGTCAGTGGAATGTGTGCGTCGCAGCGTAACCAATCCGATGTTTCTGACGTAGCCGCGTTACCAAATCTATATTATGGTTTACAACACTGTGTTTCGACTCAAATATTTTACGAACGGCTATGTGTGAGAAAAAGTTATTGATACATTCACTATAGCAATCAAGAGTTTTGAATCGATTGCTACCAAGTTCAATACGATTAGTGTACAAGATCAGGGCGTATTTACATGGCGAGCGAGATGATTTTATTTCACGTCCGTCGTCGTCGTCTTCACACGTCGATTTACTTTTTTACACGACAGGTGGCGCTGACTACTTTGCCTTCTTTACCTATTTGTACTTTTGGTTGATGTACGTCGTCGTCGTCGTCGTCGTCTTCGCACGTCCATCGCATTTTTTACATAACAGATGGCGCTGACTGCTTTGCCTTCTTTACCTATTTGTACTCTGGATGGTGTTGGTAATTTACGAATACACAACACAATCAAATACACTTTATACGTGAAGCTACTGTTCATACCGAATTTCCAGTTAGTATAAGGGTGCTTTCACAACAGTATAGAATTATTAAGTTTTTAATAGCATTCATATGGAGCGCGCGTGTATGGATGTATGTATATGTGTGCTTCGACATAGTTCCTCGTATTTTAGGTGACAGTTTTTAGAGATATAGGATTGTTAGGTGTTCCTCTCCGTAGTTTCCTGTATCTAGGTGTCGGGCGTGGAAGTCAAGGGTGTCCAGGTGTTCCGCTCCGTAGTTTCTTGTATCTAGGTGTCGGGCGTGGAAGTCCAGGGTGTCCAGGTGTTCCGCTCCGTAGTTTCTTGTATCTAGGTGTCGGGCGTGGAAGTCCAGGGTGTCCAGGTGTTCCGCTCCGTAGTTTCTTACATCTAGGTGTCAGGCGTGGAAGTCCAGGGTGCCCAGGTATTCCGCTCCGTAGTTTCTTGTATTTAGGTGTTAGATGTGGAAGTCCAGGGTGTCCAGGTGTTGCGCTTCGTCGTTTCCTGTATGTAGGTATGGGACGTGGAAGTTCAGGGTGTCTGGGTATTTCTCTCCATAATTTCCTGTATCTAGGTGTTGGATGTGGAAGTCCAGGGTATTTAGAAAAGTGTGCAATTAGTGACGCTTTGGCGTTTTACTCAAACCGTAGTATCCTCTCTATTGTTCGCACGGTCTGAGGTACGTAAATATTCCAGCACTCCTCATTTACGTTTACCATACGATTTCAACAAGCTGGACGGACACTATTAACCGTTTTAGTGCCAGAGGTTTTTAAAAATCCGTGTCGGGTTGTGCCACGAAGCGCGATAGCGCTTCCTTTATTTATGTGTGAGTAATGCCGATCGACGCGGTCGCGCTGCTCTTTTTTTTCGTCGTAATATGCCGCCCGGCGTTCTCATACTTCATATTGTTTCATCAGTCATATCAGAGACGTTATACTGAGCACTCAAAAGTTTGCGAAATGTTAGTGTTTGACGTTTTTTGTACGTGATAACATTTTATAATACAGGTTTTGGTCTTCCAATTGAAGAGGTAATGTGTACATTAGTTTTTTTTTTTAATTAATACTTTTTTAACACTTTTTTTAACACTCAGTTAACACTATTTTTCGCCGCGGCACTGGAACATGGGTGAAGGGTATAGTTCCGTGGAGCGGTAGCCAAAATATGGACAAAAAATGTATTAATGTTTTATTTATTATTCGTGTATCCCTTGTAGGGCAATGGATACGAAAATGAAAAGAACGATGTCAAGTTCGAGATCTAATTCAACTTCTGATTCTGACGATGGCAATGAGATTGTTGCAGTCTCAAAAAGAAGTAGAATAGACACTTTTGATACATCTAGTAGCAAAGATAGTATTCCGTGCATTTTATCAGTTCTGCGACATGTGAAAATACTTCTTTGGATGGTATATGTGAACAAGAGAATTCAGTTCGCTTTACTGAAGATACTGGGCCACAGTCATCGCTAACTAACGAATCTAAACCTATTGACTTTTTTAATCTGTTTATCGATTCGTCCCTGTTAACAATAATGGTTTGCGAAACAAATAAGTACGCCGAACAACTAATAAAATCACTTGACATCACCCGCGGATCTCGAATGAAGCTATGGAAACCAGTTACTTTGCTTGAAATAAAGGCGTTTGTAGCAGTTTTATTGGAAATGGGAATAACGAAGCGACCAACAATGGTTTCTTATTGGGCCGAAAATTCAAGGAACATACCCTAGTTTTCAAAAATGTTTTCGCGGAATAGATTTCAGCTTATTCTTCAATGTTTTCACTTAGTTGATAATAAAGAATGCTCCCCGCAGGCCATGAAGAGTACGGACTATTCGTAAAATTTACGCCAATAGTTGAATACGCGAATAGAGTATTCAAATTGTACTACGAAACCGCATAAAGAATTATCTATCGATCTATCGATCTTGGTAGGAACTTTATGCTGTTCGAAAATCATGTAATATCTGCCGAATAAAAAACACCACCGATGGGGCATCAAATTTTGGATGCATTGCGACGCAGTATCCAAATATTGTTTAACTTTTTACTGTTATAAGGGCGCTAAAGAAAAAACTGGTACTACTAAGTCACAAGAACATGGACTTGGATATGAAGTCGTTATAAATTTATTGGAGCAAAGCCAGTATTTAAATAGAGGGCATCATGTATTTGCCGATAATTATTTTAGTAGTATCGCTTTGGCCAAATATTTACATTGCACAAATACATACTTAACGGAAACAATTAGAACTAATAGAAAAGACGTACCTGGCGATATAAAAACAACTAAGGTTAATGAAGCAAAATATGTTCGAGATGGTGAAGTACTTTTTTGTGGCTACCGCGAAAATAAGTCTGTAAAAAAACCTGTATTGTTAATTTCGACGCATGCTTCTGATGACAATACCATTGTAATTAAAAAACGAAATGGATACGAAAGAAGTAAATTAAAACCATGCGTCATTGATTGTTATAATCGTTATATGGGGGGAGTTGACGAATCAGACAAAATGTTATACGTCTATTTGGATGAACGCCGCACGGTAAAATATTGGAAGAGAGTTACGTTTAACATCATTGCCCGTATGGTATTAAATTCATATCTACTTTATAAGGAAGTTACCAAAAAGAAGCTAATCATTCGATTGGAATTTACGTCAAGCATTATATCTGAAATAGAGCATGAATAAATACAAGTCAAAAACCAACAAATGATAAGTTATAATGAGGGAATATTTGGTTTAGTGAAACTACCAGGCAAAAATTTAAGATAGTGCGTAGTTTGTAGTACTAAAATTACTGGTATAAAACGATCGAATTTAATTTGTGTACATTGCAGAAAAGGGCTTCATACATTATGTTTTCATAAACATGTTTGTTTTAAAAATAATGATTATTAATAATCTTGTTTTATATCTATTATAAATAAAATGTTATATTATATTTTTTTTAAATATTGTTAAAAATAAACCTTGGGACTCAATGTGTTAAAGAAAGACTGCTAATTATGCAGGTTGTTTACGATTATTTAAAAGAAAATTAGTAATTACGAGAGGAAATTCTGACAGATTTGCGACAAGATACGTTAGGACTGAGCGCGTTGCAAATTGACGATCGGGATCAAACATCGCGACGCAGTTCACCACAGTACGCGAACAGCGCGATCGCACTGCGTGGCACTAAAACGGTTAACGACGCTTACATGCTTTCAAGATTACATTTTCTTTAAAATATTCTATATATCTTTATGCATTTCTAAAGAAATAGACATAAATTAAATTTATATGCCATTAAACATTTTCGTCAACGCAATATATTATTCTGATTAGCGGCATCACAATGCATTTACATTTTATATCTGTAAAAATATGGATTTCAGTGCTTAGAGCTTCTATATTCCGTTGAGCAATAAAAACTTGTGATATCCCCCAAAAAACACTTACGTGTAAAAAACTAAGGTAAGTACAGGAATGCTGCGATTTCCTCTAATAAAAAGTATTGAAATTGTTACGTAGGCCGTAGTGGCTAGCGAGGCCTTTAAATTTGATAACAAAAATTTAGAAGTAACCAAAAGAAAAGAAACGACCGGAGGTAACGTGAATGATATTTGAGTGAATTTCGAGCGGTAAGAATGCACTCAATGGTGGGTTCGCTGCTCGTTTAAGGTGTTGAAACACGCCTTGCTATTCCAACGTGAATAGATATTCTCTGAAATGTTTGAGGTGGGTAATAGATATTTAAAACGCGAGTAAAATGTGAACTTGCGATATATTGTTACAATATGATTATGAGATTATGATTATGATTATGTGTTTCGATTATGAGAAATACTGGCATAAAAAAATTGTGAAATCGGATTACAAAATCTGACTGCGTGTGAGGTTAAGGCAAAAAGAAATTTAGTGGAACAGAAATTTTATTTAATCTATATGCTATTTGGAAAGACTAGTCTTTGCAGCTCAATTTTGCCCGGTAACCGATCCAGCTTGTTCCCTAGGGTATGTAATAACGAATCCGTATTTAGGCCCGATTGCAAATATTACACTGAATCTAATACTCTAACGGTTAGAGCCACGAGTGACAACGTGCAGTTCGATCTTTTGCGCGTGATACTGAATCATTTCCTGAGCATCAGTGCTATGATTTTGGCTGCTTATACTATAGTCGATTTTTGCTGATGCTCTAGGTATGGTTAGGACGTTAGGAATGCACTCGCCTAACCAGCTGGGTAGGTGACACGGGCAATGCACTGGGTAACGTACTGAGTCTGCAATTATATTTACTGTCGGCTACGTTATTATTGTTTCGGAATGAAGGCCGATATACGTAACAAAATCATATTATTCAGGTCAAGTACATAAGTCGCTACATGTTTGCTTATTTTATGATCTATCACTGGCCCATCATTTTAATTGTATTGTCAACATTTCCTATTCACTACTCTTTTACATTACTACTGCTTCCCGTAGTTGATTATGATTTAATGGTTATTTAATAATTAATACAACTTTAGCTGATTCCTTATCGAGTACTACTTGGTGGGTCCGCGCCAAGAATTCCAAAGTACTTACTTTGAACGTACTAATAGTATCCTAAAACTATATGTTTGTTATTCAGCGTTTACCGTGATTATTTTTGATGATTTATTGTTAATATGCTCTATATAGAAAGTTGACATTGGTTTTCAGTTTGATGACTAGCATAATGAACCCAAATTTATGTCAAGAAATGCACAGACCCGCAAAGTAGTACTCGATAAGGTATCACCTAAAGTTTTATTAATTATTAAATGACCATTAAATCATAATCAACTATGGGAAGCAGTAGTAATGTAAAAGAGTAGTGAAAACGTTATAGGAAATGTTGAAAATACAATTAAAATGATGGGCCAGTGCTAGATCATATAATAAGCAAACATGTAGCGACTTATGTACTTGGCCTCAATAATATGATTTCAATACTTTTTATTTGAGGAATTCGCAGCATTCCTGTACTTGGCGCAGTTTTTTTCACGTAAGTGTTTTTTGGGGGATTAAGTATATTCCGTAAGAATTTATATTCCCTGTAAGATATAATACAGATCTTTCGTAGTAAGTACATTCGAAATCTGTCACCTACAAATATTACGCAATTTGGCGTGGACATTTTCGGATTCCTTGACATCCATTCCCATTCCTGGATGCTTGTTTACTTATTCCGGCCAATTTTTATGGATTTCTCCTGATTAATTCAAACTGAAAGTTGAATAAATAATCCTTGGCATATTCCAGTATCCCGATCATATACCGGAGTGTATGGTAAGAATTGTTAGATATGACATGAATTACTGGTGTAACACTTTACACGATGTATATGAGATCCTTTTTTTATTGGGACTACTCTTATAACGAAGGATGAACACCGGTATGCAGGATGGTTCGAACATTTTTCTGAAAAGGATCTTCTCCGTATAATTAATACGGCTTGGGCTCAAAATTGATCTGAGTATGATGTTATTTGTGCATTAGGGAAGTAGAGTATTGATGATCATTCATAGATCATCGATTCAAGTCATAATCACTGTACGCGAAAGATCAATGTAGATCAGCTTTGGATCCATCCAGCAGACTGAATTTATCCTTCGTAAACCTGAGCGTAATCTGCCGTGGAACGCGTAATTAAAAACTGAATAGTTTTACCACATCTAACAATTTTTACTGTATCTAGCAACTTCTACTGTAGACATTCAGTGATAATGTTAGAATTATTATTTCAATTCTCAGATTCCTCGCCGAGGTCCATTCCTTTTCCTGACTACCAGCGTACGCTGGCATCATATTCCCAGGACTCTTCTTCTCTTGAACACTCCTTCCTCAAGAAATGGGTATTCCATCGACGCATTCATAATACGCTACACTTATTGATAATAAAATATCTTATTGTATTGTTTATATTAGAAATAAATCTTGGTAAATAATATTTCTTGAAACTTTATTGCAAATATCTTTAGTCTTGCAATAATAACATTAATTGTAAAATCAAGCTAGAAAAGCATAGAATGTATATTATATTGACGTAGTATGGGATCTGAGAGAGAATAAATACGTGTGACGCTTTTATCGCCCACGCCAAGTTGCGTAATACTTGTAGCTGACAGATTTCGGATTTATCTACTACGAAAGATTTGCATTATATCTTACAGGGAATATAAACTCTTAAGGAATATGCTTTATAAATTATGAAAAGTCGTCAATTGCATTAGAATTTTATTGCGATTCGTCAACGGGATGTAACACGAATCGCTAAAGATCAATGAAAGAAAAGCGAGATCAGGATAAACTACGTAAGACGTCACAGAGATATCTGTGTAAGTCAAATAGCATTATCATAGGACATTGCAGTTTTCAGTTAGTGGTATGTCTTCGGCTGACGTCATCCTGCCCGAAACCACCGAGAAACAAAAGCGAGGGAAGAAAACTCTGAGTTCGTAAGTGCCTACGTTATTCTCGACGCCTCGCTCTGACTGGTCAACTTTTACCTGCTCTTATTAAAAAACTGTGACTTTCCGAACAAAAGGAAGGTCATTTTCGTGATCAGTGGTGCCTCCTGAACACCGCCATGCCCCGTAGGTCAGGTAATTTCGGAACACCCTGTATATTGTGTGACGTCAATTTCGTGTTCGAGCCTCGTCGGGAGATGAGAGACTGACCGGCGCACAACTTACGCGATTCCTTTGCGTTCCAGGCAACCCAGGGCTAACATATACAATTCGAAATAATACCTCTGGTATTGTTGGGCACCAGGTTCCAAAACGAGAACCATGTATCAACTTCTACAGTTCGTCTTCGCGTGCCTACGTTGGCTAACTCAGCTACGCGGAGGCGGCGGGGATCTTCAGGACTAAGGACAACTTCAACAAAATGAATACTCCGGCTTTTTGGGTCAATAATAACCAAAATCGATCGTTTATTTTGCGCCAATTTCGGACGCGACCACGCGGATATAACACAATCCAAATTTAACAATTGGGGAAATAAATAATGAAACCAATCAGAAAGCGACTAAAACAACAACGAAGGACAATATCAATTTCAGCTTAATTCCTAATCCGAATTTCTACGTACAAAGTTCGCGATCTATTCCGCGCAGTCTAACTCTTACAGTTCGCTAAAATACAATCGTACAATCCGATAAAATTCGATACTTTCGACATTTCAATAAATACTTTCGGACGATTCGAGACAATTCGACATTTCGACAGTTTCAACTTCTTCCGGACAATTCGCTATCGCTTCAATTACGACAATTCTCAATACATGAGTCGATTCAACAATATAACGCGATTTAATCGGGACACTTCGAAAACACGACCTCAAGGACTATTGCGGGTCTCTCGACAACACGTCCCTAACGTGAACGCGATACAATAAGATTCGGAGATCTAACACTCAACATTGCCGAGAGAACTTATCATTCAAACACATTCATTCGATTCGATTGACAAACGCGCGGTAAATATGTCCACGATGGGCAACATATTTACGCGAACACAGTCCCTTGCCGGTCGGCGGAATCTCGAACTCAAAACGAACGCGATTCTACGAGTGGGAACATCTCCCACGTGCCTACAGGCAAAATTCAACGACAAACGTACTAAACGCGGGGTGTTACGAGATTTCGTCGCTCACAAAAATTAACAAATCGCTTACCGAAATCTCTACGTATCTTCGATCTGGAGAATTTAGCCCGTATGCGCGGCCTCGAACGAAGTCCGGATACTCCACAGAATTTACCACGGAAATATTCCACGGAAATATTCCACGGAAAACAAACGGTTCCAAAAACACGACTCGCGTCGTCGAC